GACAGAGAAGTAAATCAAAAAGGAAAACAAAAGTATCTGACATTTCATGTGGATCTTATAATTCGTAAACAAATGCAATTAGTGGATCTGCTTCGTAGTTAGTGGATCTGCTTCGCTGTTGTAACATCCATGAACGTGGATTTTTAAGAAATTATTTTTTGAAGTTATCCATGAACGTGGATTTTTAAAAAATTATTTTTTGAAGTTATCCATGAACGTGGATTTTTAAAAAATTATTTTTTGAAGTTATCCATGAACGTGGATTTTTAAAAAATTATTTTTTGAAGTTATCCATGAACGTGGATTTTTAAAAAATTATTTTTTGAAGTTATCCATGAACGTGGATTTTTAAAAAATTATTTTTTGAAGTTATCCATGAACGTGGATTTTTAAAAAATTATTTTTTGAAGTTATCCATGAACGTGGATTTTTAAAAAAATATTTTTTGAAGTTATCCATGAACGTGGATTTTTAAAAAATTATTTTTTGAAGTTATCCATGAACGTGGATTTTTAAAAAATTTTTTTTTGAAGTTATCCATGAACGTGGATTTTTAAAAAAATTTTTTTTGAAGTTATCCATGAACGTGGATTTTTAAAAAATTATTTTTTGAAGTTATCCATGAACGTGAATTTTTAAAAAATTTTTTTTTGAAGTTATCCATGAACGTGGATTTTTAAAAAATTATTTTTTGAAGTTATCCATGAACGTGGATTTTTAAAAAATTATTTTTTGAAGTTATCCATGAACGTGGATTTTTAAAAAATTATTTTTTGAAGTTATCCATGAACGTGGATTTTTAAAAAATTATTTTTTGAAGTTATCCATGAACGTGGATTTTTAAAAAATTATTTTTTGAAGTTATCCATGAACGTGGATTTTTAAAAAATTATTTTTTGAAGTTATCCATGAACGCGGATTTTTAAAAAATTATTTTTTGAAGTTATCCATGAACGTGGATTTTTAAAAAATTATTTTTTGAAGTTATCCATGAACGTGGATTTTTAAAAAATTATTTTTTGAAGTTATCCATGAACGCGGATTTTTAAAAAATTATTTTTTGAAGTTATCCTGAACGTGGATTTTTAAAAAATTATTTTTTGAAGTTATCCATGAACGTGGATTTTTAAAAAATTATTTTTTGAAGTTATCCATGAACGTGGATTTTTAAAAAATTAATTTTTGAAGTTATCCATGAACGTGGATTTTTAAAAAATTATTTTTTGAAGTTATCCATGAACGTGGATTTTTAAAAAATTATTTTTTGAAGTTATCCATGAACGTGAATTTTTAAAAAATTATTTTTTGAAGTTATCCATGAACGTGGATTTTTAAAAAATTATGTTTTGAAGTTATCCATGAACGTGGATTTTTAAAAAATTATGTTTTGAAGTTATCCATGAACGTGGATTTTTAAAAAATTATTTTTTGAAATTATCCATGAACGTGGATTTTTAAAAAAATATTTTTTGAAGTTATCCATGAACGTGGATTTTTAAAAAATTATTTTTTGAAGTTATCCATGAACGTGGATTTTTAAAAAATTATTTTTTGAAGTTATCCACGAACGTGGATTTTTAAAAAATTATTTTTTGAAGTTATCCATGAACCTGGATTTCTAAAAAATTATTTTTTGAAGTTATCCATGAACGTGGATTTTTAAAAAATTATTTTTTGAAGTTATCCATGAACGTGGATTTTTTAAAAATTATTTTTTGAAGTCCAACATAAACGTGGATTTTTTAAAAATTATTTTTTTAAGGTATCCATGAACGTGGATTTTTAAAAAATTATTTTTTTAAGTTATCCATGAACGTGGATTTTTTAAAAATTATTTTTTTAAGGTATCCATGAACGTGGATTTTTAAAAAATTATTTTTTTAAGGTATCCATGAACGTGGATTTAAAAAACAATAATTTTTTGAAGGTATCCATGAACGTGGATTTAAGACACAATAATTTTTTGAAGGTATCCATGAACGTGGATTTAAAAAACAATAATTTTTTGAAGGTATCCATGAACGTGGATTTAAAAAACAATAATTTTTTGAAGGTATCCATGAACGTGGCAAAATTTTCATTTTGAGTTTTCAAAATATATTCATTTTGCCAAAGGAATTTTTCATCCACCCCTTCAAAAATTTCCATTTTGTTGTCCCGCATTATTTATGAGAGAAGAAATTATTCGCAGTACAAGTGATTACAAAGCTATTAGCAGGTCTGAATAACTTCCGTTTCAATTACAATAAAAACGCACAAAGTACAAAAAGGGGGAACAGCTAATTCTCCCCCTCTCCATCCCTCTCTCTCGTAACCATTGCAGGGATGCTGTTTGGCGATTTACATGATGGGTGATAAATAGCAATTACTACTGTTTACCATGGTGGTCTACTCGTCGTTTACAATTGTACAAAAATATTCCGGAAAGGAAATAAGCCATCATAGAGGACGGGAAAACGAGAGCGGGGGAGATAAAAATGTCATGTAAATGTATTTTGTATACCACCTTCATTAAATGCAAAATTACCACCACCAATAACAACAACAGCAACAACAAATATGCGATAATAAAATAGATATGTGTGAACATTTCGAAAAGGGCATTGGCAAATAATGAGGTTATCTCTCGAATAAAGGAAGGTAAGAGAGGGTGCAGGTGCTGGCAGTTCACTCGTTCGGTCATCGAACGTTTGGTAATGTAACAATATTTATTTTAATGCACTTATTACGTGTGTGGGCAGGATCAATTACCTTTAATGAGTACCTGCCGGTGAGGGCAAATATTGGGAAAGTCTAATTGACAAAGACAGATATCTAATTCGGATTTCGATGTATCGATTTTTGATAATGAAGAGGCTAAGAGCCAAACTAGATTGTTGCGCAAAATCACCATCTCGTAATCGACGCTAGGAATTCATAAATATTAAAAACACAGGGTTAAAGTCGTACTTTCCAGGGTGAGATGGAAAAACTGCAACCAACTTTAGATTTCTAAGCCACTCGCCCGACAGCTGTTAAAATTATTCCAGTGACAGCTCATTATATTGTGTACAAACGTACAAAAGTATTTTGGTGAGAATTTTCCAGAAAAAAAGTTATTCGTGATGGAGTTCAAGCGTGATAGTTAGAATTCTTTATATTTGGCTGGAAAACAAAGGTGGCTATCGTTAGAGAACTCCAGCATTTAAATGCGAATAAATCTTTTGTGTTTCGTACCATCTTCGCTCGTTACCGTGATACTGGTAGTGACGTAGCCCGACTTCAAGGAAGTGGACGGAAGAAAACAGCAACATCAGCAGAAATGGTTCGAAAAGTAAAGAAACGACTTGATCGACCAACCGCGTCGCAGTGGCCGAAAAATGACTCGTGAGCTGAACATATCGCAATTATCCATTCGGCAAATATTGAAAAATAAGCTCGGGGTAAAGCCATTGAAATTCCAAAAAGTGCAAGAACTTATACCGCATCAGAAAGAAAATAAACTAAAAAGAGCTAAAGAGTTATTTCACTTGGCCGAAAGTGGTGAACTGCCGAATTTGGTTTTCTCCGATGACCGATGAGAAAACATTCGTTGTCCAGCAGTTTGTAAACAAACAAAATGATCGGGTTTACTTGCCAAAGAGGTCAGCTGAAAATGTGCACCTTCGGTTGGCCACCAGAACTCAAGCGCCGGTTATGGTGTAGGCCGCCATAACAACCGATGTTCGCTCTCCGCTCGTATTAATTGACCGTGGTCTCAGAATAAATGCCGAATATTATCGCGAAAATATTCTGGAGGGTGTATTAAAGCCTTGGGCACGCAAACATTTTGGCCGCAGACCTTGGACATTCCAACAGGACACACACATAGCACTCAGCACCCAAGAATGATTACAAAGTCAGGTTCCTCACATCATTTCCAGCGCACAACGGCCACGAAAATCTCCGGATACCAATCCGTTGGACTACCGTGCCTGGAGGATTTTGGAATGGAAGGTTGGCACTAAAAAATACCAAAAATTATCGATCACCGCAAGAAAGCATTTTGCCGGGAATGGACCAAAATACCGCAGAGCAACATTCGGGCTGCGTGTGACGGTCTCATTGGCCATTTCAAGGCCATAATTCGTTCCAAAGGTGACCAATTCGAACAAATCTAAACTTATTCTAAAATTTGATGCTACTTCCGAAATTTTTTGCTTTCATTCAATAAAATTTAAAAAAGCAACAAGTAAAATAGCTGTAAGTTCAGCCGCGCCGAACTTTGATAACCCTCCACCATTTGGTACAAATTTGGCAATTTTCAAAAAAAAAAATAGTATCCGTTAAAAATTCTGTAAAAATCTAAAAAATACCGAATGTAGCCGTATATTAGGGTCTATACGACGACGTGGACCTGCATATGCAATTTTTATCATAAGCCACTACAATATTCAAATGCGAAACTTGAAAAAAAATCTGTTTGTAATTTAGCTAAAATCATCAAAATACCGAATATAGGGAGGTACCATGGGGGTTATAGAACGTGGAACTGCACAGACAATTTTCTGGCATAGGCTGTAGTATCCATTACGAACTTCAAATACAAAATTTGAAATAATTCCGGTCAATAATGTCACTAAAATCATCAAAATACCGAATATCGAGAGGTACCGTGATATGGGGGCTACACGATCGATCGGTCGGATATCGGATAATGGCAGAAAATTGTCTGTGCAGGTCTACGTTTTATAACCTCCATGGTACTTCCCTATATACAAACAGTTTTTTTTTTTTTAAATTTAGCATTTGAATATTGTAATAGCTTATGACAAAGGTTGCCTATGCAGGTCCACGGCGTCGTATAGACCCTAATATGCGGCGGCTACTTTCGGTATTTTTAAAATTTTAACAGAATTTTTAATGGATTTTATTTTTTTGAAAATTGCCAAATTTGTATCAAATGGTGGAGGGTATTCAAAGTTCGAACCGGCCGAACTTACAGCTTTTTTACTTGTCTTATTTAATATATTATAACTTACCTTATCATTGTCATCGAATTTCAGTCCCTTAAAACGTGGTTCTAGACCGGACAAAGGACTCTCTTTGTTCGTTGGTGATCCACCCAAAACGTATTCGACCATTTTAACACCCAAACCACTTGTTGAATCACGAGGACTGCAAAGAGATAGGAATAGAAAGTTGATATTAAGGTTTAAAGGAATCAATAGATGGAGAATGATACTTAAGATGACCTAATAGTTTTTATCTAACTCAGATTAACAATGTGGGTCTACTCATTCCAGTACCTTCCTCACAAAAGTTCAATATTTAACAAAAAAATACATTTTCTTATATCAGAATTCTTTTCTTTTGTAAAAAATAATAAATATATTTCATATAGCTCAAAGTGATATAAAAGTGACCAAAAATGCAAAATTCGACGATCTTCATCTCCAACTTGTACCAAATTTTCTTTACCATTTATTACCCCTTCGTACTCATTTTAGTACGCATTTGAAAATTGCCTCTCTATATAAAAGCTACACACTCCCAGTGAATCTAATAACAAATTTTATTTTTCCAGCTCTTACAGTTCCTATGGAATTTCGTACAATTTGTACCCACAGGTATCCTTTCTAACCCAGAGTTACCCCCAAAGCAAAATTCATACATGACACATATGTCAGACGAGTTACAAACGTCATTAATCGAAATAATAATTTTAGACAAAACAAAGTGTATAGAACCTTGATCAGCGTAAAATTCTAAGACGATTTAGTCCTGTCATTCCGCCCATCTGCCCATCTGTGGTAATCACGCTAGAGACAAAACGAACCAATAGGAACCTAAAATTTTTCACAGATCTATCTTTTGTGTGCAGGCAAGTCAAGTTCGAAGATGGGCTATATCCGTCCTCGATATCGTATAGTACCACCCCCCCCCCCCCCAAATTTTCCATATTTTGATAATTTTAACCACATTTTTCAATGGAATTGTCTGAAATTCTACACAAGGAGTTCGTTGTGAGTACTTTATCCCCAAGAAGAAAATTGTCCATATAAGTCCACAATATCATATACCCCCATATAAAAGTAGCAAACACCCACCCCCCCCCCCCCTAATATTCGGTATTTTGATAAGTTCAACCAAATTTTTCAGTGGAATAGTCTTGAAAATCTACAAAAGGAGTTCCTTGTGAGAATATTACCCCCTGAAAATTGTCTATATAGGTCAACGATATTACATATCCCCTATATAACGGTTCCTCCCAATATTCGGTGGTATTTTGATGATTTTAACCATATTTTCCAACGGAATTGTCTAAAACTCCATACAAGGAGGTGATTACTTCTATCCCCAAGAAGAGAATTGTCTACATGGGTCCACGATAGCGGTTCCCCTCGATATTTTGATGTTTTCAAGCAAATTTATCAATGGAATTATCTTAAAATCCACACTAGGAGTTCCCTTTGAGTACCTTACCCCTAGAAGAGAATTGTCTACATAGGTCTACGTTATAGTATAGCGCCCATATAACGGTACACCCACATATTCGGTATTTTCATGATTTTTGCGACATTATTCACCGGAATTGTTTAAAAATTCGTATTTGAAGTTCGGAACCGTTACCGTTAACCGTTAAAATTACTTATATAGGACAACGACTTCATATAGCACCGATATAACGGTTTTCATTGGAGCGGTATTTTACGACGGAATTTTTCAAGTTTCTTCCAAATGCTGGAGTTCGGTAAAAGTTCGTCCCAGACCGAACATAGCTGCTTTTTTACTTTTGTTTTATCCTCACACATATGGCTACAGAGGGAATATATCATTTGATACGGCAATAACGGTTTTAGACCCTAGGTCTCTTTGGACCAAATCAGTTTCTGGACATTTGAAGTCGATCCAGCGATGTCGGTCCGTTCGTCTGTCTTTGGACCAAATTCGTTTCAAGATATTTGAAGTCGATCTAGTGATGTTCGTCCGTCTGTCTCGCTGGTTTTCGAACTCACGAAGGTAGTATCCGATTTGGTCCAAATTTGGTACATCGTACTATTATTATCAAACTTAGATCGAATTCGGAGATGTGCAATATCGGTCAACTCCTTCTGGTAACTCCCCCACAAAAGGTCGAAAATTTCAATGGTCCACTTCTTCTGGTACCTCACCCACAAAGGGTCAAAATTTTTAATATGCATGAGGCTCATGAAACACGAAATGAACATCCGATTCCATTCAAACTTCCCACATGTCAATATTTTCTACAACACAAGGTCTTTTATGAAGATGGTAGAGATCGCACCATTCCTTCCTGTACCTCCCCCACAAAGGGGCCAAATTTTTGAAAATCCTAAACGAGCATAACATCCAAACATCCGGTTCTCTTCAAATTTCACACTTCCCTTTATTTCTATTAACACAAGATCTACTGTGAAGATGGAATATATCGGTGTACTTCTTCTGGTACCGCCAAATTTTGAATATCCGGAACGAGCATAAAATCCAATATCCAATCGGTTCATTATTTCCACTAATACAAGAGCTGCTGTGAAGATGGGATATATTGACGTACTTCTTCTGGTACCTCCCCCACAAAGGGTCAACATTTTGAATATCCATGCAGGTCATAAAAAACGAAATGAACATCCGATAATTTTCAAACTTCCCACATGTCAATATTTTCTACAACACAAAGTGTGTTATAAAGATGGCAGAGATCGGGCCATTCCTTCTGGTACCTCCTCCACAAAGGGTCCAAATTTTGAATAACCAAAACGAGCATAAAATCCGAAATATTCATCCGGTTCTCTTCAAATTTCACACATTCCATTACTTCTACTAACACAAGATCTGCTGTGAAGATGGGATATACCGGCATACTTCTTCTGGTACCTCCCTCACAAAGGGTCGAAATTTTGAATATGTTATATAGATGATAGAGATTGGACCATTCCTTCTGGTACCTGCCCCACATCGAATATGGAATTTATCGGAATTTATGATTTCGCAAAAAATGGGATATAAATGTTCGATTTTCTTGTAATTTTTTCCTACTAATATTTGAATGAAAATGAAAAACCTTGGGTCGCCTTTATCTGGAACCTTACGCTTATTTTAATATATTTTAATAACTATCACATAATTATCACACCTTCTCGAGGCCTTCTGTACGGAGAATACCATCTACATGTTTTATATACAAAGAAACCCCTCTCTCGAGGTCTTCTATGCGGAGAAGACCTTCTCGTGGTCTTCTATACGGAGAAGACCTTCTCGAGGCCTCCTATACGGAGAAGACCTTCTCGAGGCCTCCTATACGGAGAAGACCTTCTCGAGGCCTTCTATGTACAGAGAAGACCTTCTCGAGGTCTCTTATACGGTGAAGACCTTCTCGAGGCCTCCTATACGGAGAAGACCTTCTCGAGGCCTTCTATGTACAGAGAAGACCTTCTCGAGGCCTCCTATGTACAGAGAAGACCTTCTCGAGGCCTCCTATACGGAGAAGACCTTCTCGAGGCCTTCTATGTACCGAGAAGACCTTCTCGAGGCCTCCCATACGGAGAAGACCTTCTCGAGGCCTCCTATACGGAGAAGACCTTCTCGAGGCCTCCTATACGGAGAAGACCTTCTCGAGGCCTTCTATACAGAGAAGACCTTCTCGAGGTCTTCTATATACAGAGAAGACCTTCTCGAGGCCTCTTATATAGAGAAGACCTTCTCGAAGCCTCCCATACGGAGAAGACCTTCTCGAGGCCTCCTATACGGAGAAGACCTTCTCGAGGCCTCCTATACGCAGAAGACCTTCTCGAGGCCTCCTATACGGAGAAGACCTTCTCGAGGCCTCCTATACGGAGAAGACCTTCTCGAGGTCTTCTATATACTGAGAAGACCTTCTCGAGGTCTTCTATACAGAGAAGGTCTTCTCAAGGTCTTCTATATACTGAGAAGACCCTCTTGAGGTGTTCTCGCTGTTCTCTCTTTTCCTTTCTCCCTCCCTTCTTCCTTTCCTACCTTCCTTCCTCTCTCTCTCTCTCTCTCTCTCTCTCTATCACTCTCTCTCTCTGCCTAAATGAGAAAACGCCAACTCCCTACTCACCTTAATATGCCAGCATTTCCACTCGCTGTCGTATCGGGCGCTTGTGGAAATGTACGTGGCCTCGGCAATATGGGTTCAGTCTGTGTTGACCATGGCGAATCTTTCCAAACATGTGGATCACCAATGTGCAGTGGATTCAAAGGGCCACTGGTAACACCAGCCGATGAGGCGCCTTTGCCATCCGATTTCTCCCATAGTTTTTTGGCAGTGGATGTTGTGATCTGCAAAAGAAAAGGACAAAGACAAAAAATTGAATAAAAATTTTAGAAAAAAAAAAAATTAAAGATAAAAAAATTAAATATCAGAAATAAAGGCATTGGCATTTTTTCAGCGGGTTTTTGTGGTTTATTTGTGGCAGCAACAACAACAACCAGAACAACTGAATTACTTGACATTTTCCAAGTTTCCGTTTTTAACCATTTAACCATGTTGTGTCATTTCCTCAGTTTGAATAAATTTCTCCCACCGGAACGGTTATTCTCACTGGCATTTGTGTGGGGAGGGGGGAAGCGGGTGTTTGGTAGGCAATGACAGGACATGTAAAAGCCACAGTCACCTCCTGTAAGTTTCCATTGAAAGTTAATTCCGTTCTATGGTACCTGTTTGCCACTCTATGTCATCAGTAAGTCAATCACCTCATTTAATCTGTGGCGGTACCCAGGGAATGAGGGAGAACTGGGAGACGGGGACGAGGTGGAAAAGTACGAAACGAAGTGAACAAGTGACTGACTGAGTGAGTGAGTGAATGACTCATTGCAAAATTGCAGGTTGCTTAATTTCTGCCCAATCATTGCACTCGGCAACAAAAAGCAGTGGCAGTCAGTTCCACGACGACAACAACGACGTGTCACGACAGCCAACAGAGCATTGCCAGTCAGCAGTCAGGGAGTTCTCCCTTGCTGGGCTAATGACATATTCCCAGTTCAGTTTGCAAAACAGCCCAAATCAAATGAAGGGTCGTTCTTCTTCGGCTTTTGTGATTTGATTTGTTGTGACTCATCCCCCCCCCCACCTTCTCCATCACCCCTCCTCCACCTCCTCCTCAACCACCAACTTTTCATAATTCCAAATATGTTTTGGAATTACATGGCAGCAAAAGACGTGGAGGTAGGCAGCAGTAGTTATTTGCCGCATGACCTAATTGCCATTGGTATTCACTCCGTAGTAGATGAATGAATGGATGATGTGATGAGGCTGAATAATGGCAACGGAAACCCAAACATCCACATCAGGGGAGCGCACAAGAAAAACGACGTGTTCAAGTATTTGAACCAGAATCTTTGACAAAACATCAACCAAGGAACGGTAAACAGGACAGGACACCACTGGAGGCATCTCTAACTCACTCAACCAGTTGTCAAAAAGGAAATCACAAATTATGTAGTCTAGGATTAGGGAGGGCTACAAAAACAAAGGAAAAATAAAAAGGCGGAAGAAATGAACTGAGAAAATTGGGATTCAAATATTTTTCATCGAAAGAGAATTTTTCTAGACCAAAGAACGTAGTAGAGAGACCCTCTGAAGGTGTTCTACCTAGAGAATACAGCCTTGTAGTCTTCTATCCACATAAGAACTTCTGGAGGCCTTCTATTCATAGCAGACCTTCACTTTATGCGCAGGAGACCTCTATATGAGAGAGAAGAACTATACGGGGTTTTCTATGCAGAGAAAGCCTACTCGAAGTCTTCTAAGAGGAGAAGAGCTTCTCGAGGTCTTCAACATAGAAGAAGAACCATCTCGAGCTCTTTTACACAGAGAAGACCTTCTCAAGGTTTCTATACAGATAAACCTTCTCGAGGTCTTCTATTTACGGAGAAGACCTTCTCGACCTGCACAAGGTCTTTTATACAGGAGAAGACCTTCCCGAGGTTTTCTATACAGGAGAAGATCTTCTCGAGGCCTCCTATTTATGGAGAAGATCTTCTCGAGGCCTCCTATTTATGGAGAAGACCTTCTCGAGGTCTTCTATATACGGAGAAGACCTTCTCGAGGTCTTCTATATACAGAGAAGACCTTCTCGAGGTCTTCTATATACGGAGAAGACCTTCTCGAGGTCTTCTACACAGAGAAGACCTTCTCGAGGTCTTCTATACACGGAGAAGACATTCTCGAGGTCTTCTATACAGGAGAAGACCTGCTCGAAGTCTTCTATATACGGAGAAGACCTTCTCGAGGCCTTCTATATACGGAGAAGACCTTCTCGAGGTCTTCTATATACGGAGACCTTCTCAAGGCCTTCTATATACGGAGAAGACCTTCCCGAGGTCTTCTATATACGAAGAAGGCCTTTCTGAGGTCTTCTATATACGGAGACGACCTTCTCGAGGTCTTCTATATGCGGAGAAGGCATTCTTGAGGTCTTGTATATACGGAGAAGACCTACTCGAGGTCTTCTATATACGGAGAAGACCTGTTCGAGGTCTTCTATATACGGAGAAGACCTTCTCGAGGTCTTCTATACAGGAGAAGACCTTCCCGAGGTTTTCTATACAGGAGAAGACCTGCTCGAAGTCTTCTATATACGGAGAAGACCTTCTCGAGGTCTTCTTTATACGGAGAAGACCTTCTCGATATGGAGAAGATCTTTTCGAGGTCTTTTATATACGGAGAAGACCTTCTCGAGGTCTTCTGCATACTGAGAAGACCTTCTCGAGGTTTTCTATATACGGAGAAGACCTGCTCGAGGTCATCTATATACGGAGAAGACCTTCTCGAGGTCTTCTATACACGGAGAAGACCTTCTCGAGGTCTTCTATGTATGGAGAAGACCTACTCGAGGTCTTCTATATATGGAGAAGATCTTCTCGAGGTCTTCTATATACAAAGAAGACCATCTCAAGGTCTTCTATATACGGAGAAGACCTTCTCGAGGTCTTCCATGTGCGGAAAAGACCTTCTACACCTGCACAAGGTCTTCTATACAGGAGAAGACCTGTCCGAGGTCTTCTACACAGGAGAAGACCTGTTCGAGGTCTTCTACACAGAGAAGACCTATCGAGGTCTTCTATTCTTGAGGTCTTCTATATATGTAGAAGACCTTCTCGAGGTCTTGTTTATATGGAGAAGACCTTCTCGAGGTCTTCTAAATAGGGAGAAGACCTTCCCAAGGTCTTCTATGCGGAAAAGACATACTCGAGGTCTTCTGTACGGAGTCGACATATTCGAGGTCTTCTATATACGGAGAAGACCTGCTCGATGTCTTCTATATACGGAGAAGACCTTCTCGAGGTCTTCTATATACGGAGAAGACCTTCTCGAGGTCTTCTATATATGGAGAAGACCTGTTCGAGGTCTTCTATACGGAGAAGACCTTCTCGAAGTCTTCTATATACAGAGAAGACCTTCTCGAGGTCTTCTATATACAGAGAAGTCCTTCTCGAGGTCTTCTATTCAGAAAAACCCCTACTCGAGGTCTTCTTTACAGAGGAGAGCTCCATGTGGCTCTTTTCGATGATATCTATGGATACACCCTGCAGTACGTCTAAAAAGATGCCCTATAGGACGTCTAAAAAGATGCCCTACAGAACGTCTGTAGAGACGACCTACAGGATGTCTGTAGAGACGACCTACAGGACGTCTATAGAGACGGTCCACGGAACGTTCATAGAGACGCCCCACGGAACGTCCATAGAGAAGCCCTACAGGACGGCTATAGAGACGCCCTACAGGACGTCTATAGAGACGCCCTACAGGACGTCTATAGAGACGCCCTACAGGACGTCTATAGAGACGCCCTACAGGACGTCTATAGAGACGCCCTACAGGACGTCTATAGAGACGGTCCACGGAACGTTCATAGAGACGCCCCACGGAACGTCCATAGAGAAGCCCTACAGGACGGCTATAGAGACGCCCTACAGGACGTCTATAGAGACGCCCTACATGACGTCTATAGAGACGCCCTACAGGACGTCTATAGAGACGCCCTACAGGACGTCTATAGAGACGCCCTACAGGACGTCTATAGAGACGCCCTACAGGACGTCTATAGAGACGCCCTACAGGTCGTCTATAGAGACGCCCTACGGGATGTCTATAGAGACGCCCTACAGGACGTCTATAGATACGCCCTACAGGATGTCTATAGAGACGCCCTACAGGACGTCTATAGAGACGCCCTACAGGACGTCTATAGAGACGCCCTACAGGACGTCTATAGAGACGCCCTACAGGACGTCTATAGAGACGCCCTACAGGACGTCTATAGAGACGCCCTACAGGACGTCTATAGAGACGCCCTACAGGACGTCTATAGAGACGCCCTACAGGACGTCTATAGAGACGCCCTACAGGACGTCTATAGAGACGCCCTACAGGACGTCTATAGAGACGCCCTACAGGACGTCTATAGAGACGCCCTACAGGACGTCTATAGAGACGCCCTACAGGACGTCTATAGAGACGCCCTACAGGACGTCTATAGAGACGTCCTACAGGACGTCTATAGAGACGCCCTACAGGACGTCTATAGAGACGCCCTACAGGACGTCTATAGAGACGCCCTACAGGTCGTCTATAGAGACGCCCTACGGGATGTCTATAGAGACGCCCTACAGGACGTCTATAGATACGCCCTACAGGACGTCTATAGAGACGCCCTACAGGACGTCTGTAGAGACGACCTACAGGACGTCTATAGAGACGGTCCACGGAACGTTCATAGAGACGCCCCACGGAACGTCCATAGAGAAGCCCTACAGGACGGCTATAGAGACGCCCTACAGGACGTCTATAGAGACGCCCTACAGGACGTCTATAGAGACGCCCTACAGGACGTCTATAGAGACGCCCTACAGGACGTCTATAGAGACGCCCTACAGGACGTCTATAGAGACGCCCTACAGGACGTCTATAGAGACGCCCTACAGGACGTCTATAGAGACGCCCTACAGGTCGTCTATAGAGACGCCCTACGGGATGTCTATAGAGACGCCCTACAGGACGTCTATAGAGACGCCCTACAGGACGTCTATAGATACGCCCTACAGGATGTCTATAGAGACGCCCTACAGGACGTCTGTAGAGACGTCTTTAAGGTCGTCTATGGAGACGTTTTTAAGTCCTTCTATGGAGACGCCTTTAAGTTCGTCTTTGGAGGCGCCTTTAAGACCGTCTATAGAGATGCATTAAGGCCGTCTATAGAGACGCCTTTGAGGCCGTCTATGGTAACGCCTTTTAGATATAGATACGCCCCTTAGGACGTCTTTAGAGGCGCGTTTAA